CATCAGCAGCGAGATGCGAGCCCGTACGTGTCCGTCTTGGCCGAGTGCTGGTTCGAGTCGAGGAAGTTCGGGTCCGCGAAGCCGGTCGAGTAGAAGGCGCTGGTAGCATTGGTCGCCATGGTCATCGAGCCGCCCGCCCGCTCCTTGGCGAGACCGACATCGGAGAGGAAGGCGCGGTAGACGCGCCTAATCAGTGGAGCTCTCGAGCGATCTGGAGCAACCTAGGGCAATCTCGGGTGATCTCGGGGTAGACGCGCCTATCGCCCCCCGCCGTATGCAGCGGCAGCAGCGCGCCGTCGAGCAGGATGTTGGCCGTCTTCACGTCGCGGTGGAGAATGCTGTTCGAGTGGAGGTGCACCAGCGCCCTCGCTGCGTCGCAGAGCGCCGAGAGTCGTTGCGACCACGACAGGCCCGGAGTGCCCTTGAAGCCGAGCTTCTGCAGCCGCGCCCGCGCGTCGGGCGAGAGCAGGAGGTGGTCATCGAGCGAGCCGCCTCGCATGAGCGCCGTCACGATGCAAGCCGCACGTGGCGCGCCGCAGTAGCCGAGTAGCGGCAATACGTCCCGGTGCGCGCACCTCCGCAAGTTGGACACCTCGGCCATCACCTCCCTCGCATCCACCCCTGAGAGGGCTCGCTTGACGGCGACGCGGCCCCAGCCCGGCAGCGAAGGCAGCTCAACCGCATAGACGACGCCGAAGCCGCCGCGCCCAACCTCCACCGCCGCTTCGAGCGCACTGAGCACCTACAGAGGCGTGCCGGCAACCGTGGCTGGGGAGGAACAGCGAGGCAACGGCTCCTGTCTCAACTCACACACCTCTTCGGCGCCCAGCTCCACCGGCGCAGGAGGGTTCTCCGCAGCATCGCGCGCCTTGGCCATCTGCCGGTTGGCCTCGGCCGCCGCCGCCGCCTTCGCCGCCGCCCGGCGCTCCGCCTCTCGCCGCCTCGCATCCTTGGCCTCTTTGGCCGCCTCCGCCTCCGCTCGCCGCGCCTCTCGCTGCTCCTGCCTCGCCCTCTCCTCGAGCCGGGCGCACTCTCGCGCCGCCTCCGCCTCAGCGTCTGCCTCCGCACCCCCCCCACGCCTTCGTTGCCGCCCTCGCTGGCCTCGCGCCGGTTCCGCTGCTCTCGCATCCAAGGGCCGAACAACGCCCACCAAAGTCCGAAGCAAGGTATTGGCCCACCCCCAGACCACACAGGGGAGGAAAGCAAACAACAAGTGAGCGCGGAAGCACCAACCGGAGAGCGCGGTCATGTCGGAAAACAGCAAGGCCATGGCGCGCTCTCGCGCCGTTCGACGCAGCCAGTGCGGGCGCCCCCTCCGACCGTGCTCGGAGAACAACCGCCATAGAAAGCTGCAGGCGTAAACCACCAGGGCCGTAATCGTCAGGTATACCAGGGTCAGGCCAGCAGTAATAAGCATAATCGTCCAGTAGAATGCCATTGGCAACCACCCGCGCCGTAGCAGCACCTCGACCACCCGCTCGTGGCCGTACTTAGCAGCGAGCTTCAGCGCGGTGAAGCCGTCGCTGTTCTGCAGGTCGACCTCAGCGCCGTGCTGCAGCAGCAGCTCGACCACCCGCTCGTGGCCGTTGATGGCGGCGCGCATCAGCGCGGTGTCGCCGTTGCTGCTCTGCAGGTTACTCCCTGCTCCTCGCTGCAGCAGCAGGTCGACCACCCGCTCGTGGCCGTGGCTGGCGGCGTCCATCAGCGCGGTGGTACCGGCGCTGTGCTGCAAGTCGACCTCAGCGCCGTGCCGCAGCAGCAGCTCGGCCACCCGCTCGTGGCCTTGGCCGGCGGCGCACATCAGCGCGGTGTAGCTGTCGCTGGTCTGCAAGTCGACCTCTGCGCCGTGCCGAAGCAGCACCTCGACCAACCGCTCCTTGCCGTGGGCGGCGGCGAGCATCAGCGCGGTGAAGCTGTCGCTGGTCTGCAGGTTGATCTCCGCGCCGCGCTGCAGTAGCAGGTCAACCACCCGCTCGTGGCCGCTGCGGGCGGCGTACAGCAGCGCGCTGTCGCCGTCGCTGCTCTGCTTGTCGATCTCCGCGCCTCGCTGCAGCAGCAGCTCGACCACCCGCTCGTGGCCTTTGTTGGCGGCGGCCATCAGCGCAGTGACCTTGCTGCCCTGCAGGTTAATCTCCGCCCCGTGCTGCAGCAGCACCTCGACCACCCGCTCGTGACCGCTGCGGGCGGCGTACATCAGCGCGGTGCTGCCGTCGCTGTTCTGCAGGTTGATCTCCGCGCCTCGCTGCAGCAGCAGCTCGACCACCCGCTCGTGGCCGTTGCTGACGGCGCTCATCAGCGCGGTGCTGCCGTCGCTGGTTTGCAGGTTGATCTCCGCCCCGTGCTGCAGCAGCAGGTCGACCACCCGCTCGTGGCCGTACATGGCGGCGCCGAACAGCAGCGTGATGCCGCTCACCTCTCCTCTCTCGTACGTCGCATCGGCCCGCCCGCCGCCGCCGAGCCACGCCAGCACCTCCGCCTCGTCGCCTCGCTCAGCCGCTGCCACCACTTGATCGGAGACTGCCACGACGCTGCTCGACGCCCGCTCCGCCGCCGGCGACAGATTGCCCGGCCGGACTAGCACGCTCTCGTCCGCCGTGTACCGGTTGCTCTTCGGATGTACTCCGCCCGCAGTGGCGAGCAGGCATAGGAAAATTGCTGTCCGATGCATCGCGTCTCCGCTGGCTGTCAACCATGCACCCGTCCTTGCCGGCACTCCACACCCTCGCATGCCCGTCGAGGAAAAGAATTTTACAACAAAACTCCCTCGCACGACAGGGGGGACGTGGCCTGAGTGATGTGTACGCCCACTCAGGATGTGTGGCAGCCCGCTGGCTGTGTGTCTTGTGAGCTTGTTTGTGTCTGTGTGTCGCTCGTGCGTGTCGTCATCATCTGTCTTGCGTCCACCCATACCGCGTTGGTGTCCAGTCCGAGCCTGGCTGTTCTTCACCTTACTACATACATACATACAACACTGGGCACAGGACTGGGCACGGGACTGGCTCGCACTGGCACTAACACAGGTACACCAGTGTTGTGCGAGGAAAAGAAGCCATCGTGCGCGCCACAAGAGCCGGCGTCCGAAATCCCCTCCTCCGACACCCGCCCCACCCCACCCCACCCCGGACCCCTCCCCAAAGCCCCACCCCGTCCCGACCCACCCCGCCCTCCCCGCCGGACCCTCCCCAAAGCCGCAATCGACTCCGCCCCCCTCCCGATCCCCCCATCTGCGCGTGCGCTCGCCACCCGCGCCGCCGTCTCCCCCATGCGCACTTGCGCCAGCAGCCGTCCCGCCTGGCGCCTCGCCCGCCGCCCGCCGCCTCGCCCGGTCCTCACGCCCGCCCGCTCGACCGCCGCCTCCGCTGGCGTCCTGACAGCCGCCCCGCCCGCCACCTGATCCAACAAACACTAAAAATCTCTCTCTCTCCTGATCCTGGATTGCACTCACCTGGGGCCCTCTGAGAGCCAACGCGCCGGGCCGTCAGCGCCTTTCGAAAACAGCGACACTATCCCGGCCTATTAGGGTTAAACGGTCCCTCGTGGTGCCACTGTGGTACCTTCC